TGTAATCCCACATTGTAATTTCCTATACAGTTTTAATTTAAAAAAAACAAATGAAAATATTCTATGAAATTATATATATTATGTAATTATTAAATTTTTTGAAAAAATTTTGTGGGTGTTGGGAGGAGGAAGCCTCAGGATTCTTTTGTAAATAATGTAAAAAGAAAAAATTGAAAAAAAACAAAAAATCACCAAAAAAAACAAAAAAACAAAAAAAACAAACAAAAAAAAACAAAAACAAACAAACAAAAAACATAAAACATAAAAGATAGAAACAAAAAAGGGGGAAAAAGAAACAAAAAAGCAGAAATAAATAAGCAGAAAAGAAACAAAAAAGTGGGAAAGAAACAAAAAAAGTGGGAAAGAAACAAAAAAATTGGGAAAGAAAAAAAAAAAAATTGGGAAAGAAAAAAAAATTGTGGAAAGAAAGAAAAAAAAGTTTAAAAGAAACAAAAAAAGTGGGAAAGAAACAAAAAAGTGGGAAAGAAACAAAAAAAGTGAGAAAGAAACAAAAAAGTGAGAAAGAAACAAAAAAAGTGGGAAAGAAACAAAAAAGTGAAGGAAAAAAACAAAAAGCAGAAAAAAAAGATGAAAATCCAACAAACAAAATATATGGCAAATGCACTATCAGTAAAGTATGAAGCCATTTTATATCTCAAGAATCAGTTGTACAGCCTTCATGTAACTTGGTTTACTCAGTTGGTAATGTGACACTACAGCTTGTATCCTGTGTCAGCCAAATGTACATGTAGCATCCCTCCCCTGCAAAATGTCAGAGTACCCACCTCTAATCCAGATTTGTCTCCCTGTGACTTCTGGCTTTTCCAAAAGCTAAAACCAAAAACCCTCACCATTGAGAGTGGAGAAACTTACTATCATGGAACAACGCAAGACAGCGGGTGAGATTCCGAAACAAGAATTTCCAAACTGAAAAAGAACTCATTTGAAAGGGGGATTCCAATGTCATTTTCCCTAGGTAGGCTATGTTATAATATTAAAAGAGGTTGTAGGGTAATGACTTTAAACTGTGATACAGGAAAGGATCCTTATTACTGAGCACCTCTAAATATACCACATATACTGTTATACATAATTTTCTTAAAGAGTGTACTGTTGGGAGCTGGTCAGAAAGTTTGTAATCAAAGTCATTTAATTCTAAATTAACCATCAATAAAAAAGAAATAATTTTCATCTAGAACTTATTTCAGTACCTAAATTTGGAGACTTTGTTTTGATTTTCCCTTTGCTATTTTTATGCGTGTAGACTTCAAGCAAAAGGACGATGCCAAAATGCAAATTACAAATTCAAGATACCAAAATCAAACATCTAGGAAGTGTTTCAAGAAAGTACAGAAAGTGAAACACTAAAAGGCGAACAGAAAAACTTTATTAGAAGTAAAAAGCATAATGAACTGTTATGTAATATCAATCCACTAAGATGGCAGTGAATACTGGACATTCTCCTCACAGATGAAGAGACTTGAAGCAAGTGAAACAAAGAAAAGAGTACTGAATTGTTATGTAATATCAGTCCTCCTATATGGCAGTAAATGCTAGTCAATCTCCCTACAGATGAAGAAGATTTGAAGCAAGAGAAACAAAGAAAAAGAGTACTGAACTGTTATGTAATATCAGTCCTCCTATATGGCAGTGAATGCTGGACAATCTTCTCACAGATGAAGAAGAGACTTGAAGCAAGAGAAACAACGAAAAAGAGTACTGAACTGTTATGTAATATCAGTCCTCCTATATGGCAGTGAATGCTGGACAATCTCCTCACAGAAGAGACTTGAAGTGACAGAAATAAATAAAAGAGTACTGAACTGTTATGTAATATCAGTCCTCTATGGACAGTGAATGCAGCAGATGACAGAAGAGACTTGAACATAATAGAAAAAGAACTGAACTGTACTGAACTTTTAAATGCTTTCTCGCAGATGAAGAATAGACTTGAAGAAAGAGAAACAAAGAGTACTGAACTGTTATTTAATATCACTCCTCCTCTATGGCAGTGAATGATGGACAATCTCCTGACATATGAAGAAGAGACTTGAAGGAACAGAAAGGTGGTTCTACTGCTGAGGATAACATAGACCAAACATGTGAGCAATGGCAATGTTTCAGAAGAAATGGCAATGAATATGAAACTTCTACTTAGCATCAATAAAAGACAGTTAAAATTCCTAGGGTACATAACGAAGAAAAATGGCTTAGAAAATGTGATTGTCACAGGACAGATTTAAGACAAGAAAGACAGAGGAAAACAGTGCATGACATAATTAGAGAACTTGAGTAAATGAATGGTGGGGCAGGGGTTAGGAGAAATAATGGAATGACAAAATGTATTGTGAGCTGCAAAGGACAGGAAACTGTCGAGAGCCAGGATCGCTTTTGTCCTGAAGGCACTTAAGTCAAGAACTTTTCAGCACCCACTTCTCTGTACATGCCCCACCTCTCTCTCTAGTATGAGTGTGTGTGAATGCGGGTTGGCATGTAGTGATTGGGGTATGTCGTCAAACAAAACTGACAAGTTAGTTTATTTTTTTTATATATGTTTTTCTTGTCTATGTACAAGTGTCTCCTTTCTGGAGTTAGTGAAGTTAAAAATGTTCAAAGAATTGTTGGTCCAGAGCTCTTTTGTCTAAAACTGTTAGCCATTTTAAGATATTATTTTTTGTTACAGGCAGACATCTTTAATCTGGTAATGCCCATGATTCAGCACTTTTTTTTTTCAGCCGCCATTAGTTCATTGAATGGCTACAAAGGCAGCGTTACATGTTCACAACTTTCAGAAGCAGCCAACAGCACTGGAGTGTTTTGGTGTTACGGTCTGGCTTATTTCTTATATAAGAATAAAGACAAAAAGAAAACATCTTAGTCGACACGTTTTGTCTTCTGAGAGACTTTATTCCCAATATTTCTTTTCCTGAATGAGTTACTACTATCCCAAACCAAGTTACATGACCACTAAAATACTAAAAATTAGGCATCTACGCGGACGACACTACAATTTACTCCTGCCTCAAAAACAAATCTAGTGTCACCAACAAAACTAACCTGGCCATTTGTCTTGAAAAGGACCTCCAATCAGTTGTGAGCTGGGGCAGTAATTGGCTGGTTAACTTTAACACCTCCAAAACAAAACTGCTCTCTATTAATCACCACAGAGATCTTTCCCTGCCCCCCATTAGAATGTCTGACGCTCAACTTTCTGATAGCACCTCTCTGCGGTTGCTCGGTCTCATGTTGTCTACTGACCTGAGATGGAACAAATACATTGAGTCAATAGCTTCGTCCACTGCAAGGAAAGTTGTCTCCTTGTGCCGCGCCAGGAAATTTTTCTCCCCGGAATCGATCCTTCAAATCTACAAATCAACTATTCGCCCTTGCATGGAGTATTGCTGCCATATATAGTCTGGAGCCCCTTCTGTTTGCCTCGGGGTTCTTGATAGGCTCCAGAGGCGGATATGCAATATAATTGGCCCTGATCTGGCATCTCTGCAGTCGCTCTCTCATAGACACGCCATTGCCTCTGTCTTTTTTACAAATACTTTCATGGTAATTGCTCCAATGAGCTGCATTCGCTGGTTCCCAGACTTCATGAATTCAAGCGTCCTACGAGGCTGGCATCCCACTCTCACCCTTTCACTGTTGAAACTTAAATGTAGCTGACACTTCTACTCCAATAGCTTCATGTCTTGCACCACTCGCCTGTGGAACTCCTTTCCCTTTTCCCCTGATAGCTATAATCTCCAACTTTTCAAATGTAATGTCAATCGACATCTCCAGTTGCCTTGATCTATCCACTATCCTTCTCCCCATCCTTTCCTCTATAATTCCTACCTGCTCCCACTCCAAATCCTCCATAACTCCTTGCGTGCTAGTCGCTTCCTGCTTTGCTAGGGATGAAATGTTTAAAAAAAATAAAAAAATAAAAAATCCATAACCTCATGTTATTCAAGACATCTAACACATACACCCTTGTGTAAATTAATTGAAACAAAACAAATAATTCCGTTATTATTTACTTTTTTCTGTGTTTTTACACTGAAACATGACTCAGTGCACATGTTAGTACTTAGTATATCCATTCCATGAAATCGTTCCTTACAGATTCTCGATTGGATTTAAATCAGGAGAGTTTCTGGGCCAGTCTATAGTATTTTGATTTACTCACTGGTAAGGCTTGCCAGTGTGTTCGTGCAATGTTACAATTTTGTACGTTTCTTTGGAGTAATGTCCATTATAGACAGTGGCCGTAGGACAACTAATTGACAGTTGAGACAATAGTGTCTGGGCTTGATGAAAATCTGATGCAATCATGGATGATACAATATTTTTCAAGGCCAAACAAATTTCATTATACACACCGAAAATAGATTCATATTACTGCACATCACTGCAAATGACCTAATCAGGAAAAAATAGAAATCGATTACACCCTGTCACTCCAGTGGGTTTAAAATGGGCCATATGGCAAAAGAAAGGAGACTAAAGCGGTTGTTTCAATTAATTTGCACAAGGGTGTAGATTAATCCCAATCCAAAATAATTTAAATACTAATTTTTGACACGTATATATATATATATATATATTATATATATATATATATATATATATATATATATATATATAGATAGATATATAGATAGATAGATAGAATTTAAAAATAACCTACGGACGCAGAGGCGACAACAGACGAGACGGACGCAGAGGCGACAACAGACGAGACGGACGCAGAGAAAAGGTCATATGCAAAAACAGACTTACAAAGAAACATAAATACATAATTCTATCAGATAATGGATATACGCACATATACAAGATGGTGGTGAAAAGTTCTCAGCCCAACCGACTTTCTGACAAAGTGACCAAACATCAGATTTTGTTTTGAATCCCTTCTTTGTCAGCCAAAGTACTTTTCAGCACCCTCTTGTATACATGCAAATATATGTGCATAACTAAATATATTCAGATTTATAATGAGAAAATATCCATACCTTCCTTTCGTGCTTGCAGGAGATATTTTAGAATTGGGTAGTGACCTTCGTCTTGATTGGACCAAGAAATATTCACGCCTCGTGTTGTCATCTCGCATAGAGGTTTGTTGGGAGAATCAGGGGAACCTGAAAAATAGAAGAAATGAAAAAGAAACTTTTTCGCTTTTTTTTCTTTTTTAGTCATTTCACCCCAAGCAAGGTGATAATGCCACTAAGACGCAGGTGAGAAGTAAGAGAAAAGAAACTATAGAAACCATAGAGAGAAGCAATGGCAAACTACTTGTGGCCGTAAGAGGTTGAAACACCAGCTCTCGTATATTAACTGAAGTTAAGCAACGCCGTGTCTAGTCAGTACCTAGATGGGTAACTGCTTGGGAATACCAGGTGCTGTAAGCTCTCATACGTACAAAAAGGGACGCTGAAAAATTCTCAACATGGTCCGCATTGAGAAAAAAATGAAGGGAGATACAATATTTAGTTTGGTTTATTGTGTTTTACGGCATATCAACCTCAATGGGTTATTTAATGCCGACAACATTTTTAGGATAGATTCGTATGAATAGAATATGTATTCTTTAGTTTAGATTGGTTTGGTTTATTTTGTTTTACAGCATATCAACCTCAATGGGTTATTTAATGCCGACAATATTTTTATTGTTGCTAATATTTTTTTCAAAAATGTATTGCTGGTAATGTATTTTTTTTTAAATGTGTTGCTGGTAAGAATTTTTTTTTCAAAAAAGTATTGCTGTTATTAAAACCTATTTTTACACTTTCATAATGTTTTGACCCTAGCTTAGGGCTTAACTATTTGCCCATAACTGAGACCCTAACAGATGCTACCACTCTGGGTTAGGGTGGACCTGGGAACACCAGCAATTAGGAGGTGGTTCCACACTTCTCAAAACCTCCTGATCAGAGGCCTTGCAGTTTGATGTAGTGTATCGTCTTAACTAGGACGTGGATGCAATTTACCGTCTTACCCAGAACTATTTAACATTTAAATATTTCAAAAGCAGTACAAAATAAAATAATAGCAATTACATTGGACATGTTAAAACAATAAAGATTAAAAAAAGTAACAGAAAGTGTCACAAAAACATTTACATTACAGGTTATGTTAGTTTATGTTAATTTTTGCATCCAGATATTACCATTTTATGGTAATATAAAAGTTTTTGCTTACTCATTTTTTGAGTTTTTCTTCCTTCTTGTTTTCATGCTAATGGGGGTGTTATGCAAAAACTGAACATTCCCAGTTTCCATTCCCCCATTATAGGCATAATTATATCCATGATATAATAACACCATAATATATGGACGCAACAAAATTTCATTATATATGATGCAAAAGCATCATCGTAATCGGTGGGGAAGTTACGTGATGAAGATGACTGGAAGCAATGCTTCTATAATCACCAGATGAGTTTGATAAACAGAAAGTACAAGGGCAATAGTACTATTTCTGATTTTTACTGGGATGCAATAATGGGAAATAGTCACCAAGAATCCACCAATCTGATCTGGCTTTCTTTCACTGCTCGGCTATGAAGAGCTTCACAGTCATGCAAGATTCTGTTTGCCTTAAATGTGATTCCTCCTTTAAAGGGGATGGAGATTCGAATGCTGACAGAAGAAAAATAAATATACATTTTTAAAAATAAATGGAGCATCTACTCAATTATAGGTATCCACTAGAAATCAACTGCTAAATCATACACAAAATTATATACACATATTTACACTTGTCTCCACAAAGGAAAACTATAACACATGTATACAACAACAAGCAATATGAAAATGTTGAAGAGACATAAAGTCGTATTTGCATTAATCCCCAATGGGAATATGAGCTGCTGAAGGAGTCTTCTATACTTCTGGGAAAGTTATATTTTTCCAACATGAAAACAGTGGAGCCATATGGCATGGCTATATTCATATTTCTCAATTGGAATTTGATTGGGCTGGATTTACCTCCTCTGCCTCTTGTGAGGATATCTTTCCCAATGGGGAAAAAGCAAGTCATGTGTATTTTTTAATGGGAAGGCTGTGAGCTGGAGATGGGTTTTATATTTTCTGAGGGGAAAATGGTGCTATGGGCTTGTGTGCTACCCACATGACAAGCCAGTTTATCCTTCAGTATCTGTCTATATTTCTGAGATGAGGTATTACGTACACTATTTACATTATTCGGACTATTGTCCAAATTTCTGTCGCCATATTTATTACAATGTTTTGGCCATTGTATGCTCTAGCCTTCTTCAGTATTTGTCTATATTTCTGAGATGAGGTATTATGTACATTATTTACATTATTCGGACTATTGTCCTCATCTTTGTCGTTATATTTATTACAACGTTTCGGCCCTTCAGTATCTGTCTATATTTCTGAGATGAGGTATTATGTACACTATTTACATTATTCAGACTATTGTCCTCATCTTTGTCGCCATATTTATTACAACGTTTCGGCCGTTGTACACTCCGGCCTTCTTCAGGTGGTTGGAATGTTGAACTGAACCCTTTATTTTGCTCAATAATGAGTGCCAGAGAAAAGCGATAACAACAAAAATTGCAATAAATTGGTAAAAACATGTAATGATAATAGCAAAATTGCAATATGAGCACTAGTAAAAAATGATTGCGCAAGACATTAGGTTTATAATACCCAGAAATTCATCCACAGATGTCCCCAAGGACACATGGCACAGTGGATAAAGGCGTTAGTTTGATCCAGTGACAGGACCCAAACAGTGTGAGTTCAAGTGAGAACTTGGAGAGGGGAATTAACAGGATATAACTGATAACTGACAGCCATTAAAACATGGCATATGGAACTGAGCGAACCAGTGAGCGAAATAAGGGGTTCGACATTCCAACCACCTGAAGAAGGCTGGAGCGTACAACGGTCGAAACGTTGTAATAAATATGGTGACAAAGATGAGGACAATAGTCCTAATAATGTAAATAGCGGTTTAGCCTGTGATAAAAAAGCAACTGCTTGGATTGACATCATGTGGCTAACTCATGACTGGCTTTCATCACTCTATAAAATGTTTTCGCTGATTGGTTGTCACATGACCCTCTTTGATATGATCACCTTTTGAATCCCTACTAGTAGATTTGTTTTAATCCCTATCATTATGGTATCCTCAGCATCCTTCTGTAGAACTACATTTCTGTTGTTTCATGTCTCCTCTTCATCTTCAAGGTTGACAGTGTGCTTAAATTTGTGAAGATACCAAAACGAACGGCTAATTACCCCAAGAATATTTACAGAACAGGTGCAGGGAAGCTATGTTATGGCGACATGGAAATTGATTGAAGCCTCCTTACAAGTATGTTTGTTTTAAATACTGTCAATAGTTGGCATTATTTATTTTTAGGTTATCTTGTACAAAAGTAAAAATGCAAAGTATCTTACCTTTTTGAGGGCCAGTTGTAATAGAACCTGCTATTTTTTTCCCCAGGTGAATTGTTTTGGCCCGTACGGTAAAAATGTAGGTTTTGTTCTCTTCTAGTTCTTTTGCATGATAAAACAACTGGTTTCCGGGAACATTAAGTTGAACCATCTTCCGACCTTCTGTTGGGAGAGAAGCAACAAAAAAAAAAAGAAAAAAAAAAAAGAAAAAAAAACCTTGTTTATTCGAAAATATTCAAGTTTTATCTGGCATTGCCACTTGAAATAAAAGCTTTTTTACGTGGTACCCCAGAATAAAGGGGAAAAAAGAATACAAGAAAATACAATATGTTCTTATTTACACCAAGTGGTTAGAGTGTTCGCATTCTGACAATGAGACCCGGGTTCGAATCTCACTATAGTCGATTTGGTTTGGAAGGAGACTTCCTGATGTTATCAGACAGGAAGGGTCAATCCCAGCGAGCAGCACCTTTGGAAAGTGCCGAAAAACCATACCACGGGCTGACCAAAGCCTTGTGAGTGAAATTTGGTAAACAGAACCCCTGGATGCCGTCGATAGCTGTGCTAGCACTAAGTCACAAGTCATCGTGACCGAGGGATTGAGTGTGCTGCACTTGTTCACACACTAGATAACACGCTCTTTCTCAGAAACTGTATAAATCACAGGTTGGCTCTGTGAATGTTGAATAAACACTAATATGGCTTTCGCGTTGCCAAGGGAAGAATATTTGGCTTACTCCAATCATTCCTGATAAATAGTGCAATGAAGGTTGTGTTGAATGAGCATGCTTCTAGATAAGGAGATACCCAGGGCCCTTAATAGGAGTAGATAGGTTTGCATATCATCCAGTTCCCGTTCCTCCCTGGTCATTTGAACAGGAGTAGAGGTTTCCTCTTTAGGATTGAGTTTCCAGTTCTTTCTAACCTCATTTCATTGTCTCTCACTCCCAGTAGCCCCTTGCATCTTACTGGCATTATTGCTGGGTTTTTTGAATTGGGGTGGAGGTTTATCTCTTGTTTCCTGTTTAGGACTGAGTTTCCGGTTCCTTTTAAAGTCTGCTTCAACTCTGCACTCCTAACGATTGTCCTTTCCAATGCTAACACATCTCCACACAGCTCTACATTGAGTGGATCTTGGGCTTTGTATTGAGTGAACATGAGTTAAAGAATTAAAAACAATGTTTCTGATCTTCAAAAACCTTCCTGATGTCATCATTTCCCAACTGGGTATTTATGAAGATGATGTAATTATTACTCCTGTCTTAGTAACAAGTCTGTCAGATCCGACTGGTAAATGCTTTCAAATAGGACCTCTAAAATCTGTTAGATTAGTAAATAAAAATCCATTACTTCTTCAGAAATTGCTTTGTTTACGCTTGGATACGAAACTGAGTAGATAAGAACATTTGAGACTCTAGGAAGGTCTTGCATTTAAAAAGCACTATTCAGCTTTGTTTGATCAGTGACACACACATTGGCCAAGATAGTTGAAAGAATTTTGGATCTGATGATGGTTTCTCCTGCAAAAGGGGGGGGTCACATTTGAAATCTCCCAGAGAGCACATATTTTTCTTTAACAGGGTTTCTTGAATATTCAGGTCGATAGATAAAAATAAATCTATTGTTGTTATACCAGAACGTACCTATTTCTATTGTAAATAGACTCTCCCACAGATAATAAGTAGTAGTAGTAGTAGTAGTAGCAGTCACCAGTGGAGCTCAGTGAGTTGTGTGAGTCAGTCGATGTCAGACATTAAAGTATGAGCCCCACAACTAGATTGCTACGTCATTAACTATTATTTCAAGTTCCTAACGTTTTGTACGTCGGACCCTTTTAGGACCGACTTATTGAAATACAAGCCACCACTGTGAAAACTACTCTACAACAATTGTTTAATAAATAAAAGAAACGTCTACACAACTAACGGTAGTGAATGCGCACTGCTGATGAGTCCCAAATATACGACGAAATGGCCGTACAGTGTTTTCTGCATTCTGTTGGCGTTTCTTCTAGACTCAATGAATTACTTAATTATAATTATCTCAAATACTCCTAATTTCTATCACACACACACACACACATATATATATATATATATATATATATATGGCTGAGTGGTCTCCGGTTCGAATCTCACCATAATCGATTTGTCAGGAAGGAGACTTCTTGATGTTATCAAAGTGAAGGGGTCGAGCACAGTGTGCGGCACCATTGGAAAGTGCCTGGAAACCATACCACAGGTTGACCCAGGCCTTGTTAGTGAAATTGCGTTGACGGAAGCCTTAGGTGTCGTCGATAGCTGTGTTAGCCATCGTGACTGAGGGTTCAAGTGTGCTGGTGTTGTTCAGATTGTTGATCATGTTAGATAACACACTCTCTCCCAGAAACTGTAACTAAGGTCTGCTCAGCATAGTCGTATTATAAATCACAAATGGTCTCTGTGGGTGCTGAACAAACACATGTGCCTGAGCGAGTGTTTGCAATTGGGATTGGCTACCCTCCCTAGTAGATGGATATCCTTGAATACGAGTTGCCAGCTGTCATATATATATATATATATATATATATATATATATATAATATATATATATATATATATATATATATATATATATATATATATATATATATATATATATATGTGTGTGTGTGTGTGTGTAAGATAAAAGACTTTATAAAAGAAAAATATATATATATATATATAATACGAATAAAGACAAGAAAAATGAAAACTTATATTAGCCTACTTGTTTCGTTCTCTGAGGTTTTTATCAAGGCAATTTTATTCATATTTTCCTTTTACAGATATAATCTATCTGAAATGTTTAAATATGTGTGTGTGTGTGTGTGTGTGTGTGTGTGTGTGTGTGTGTGAGTGAGAGAGAGAGAGTGTGTGTGTGTGTGTGTCTCTAACGTGCTGCATATATATATATATATATATATATATATATATATATATATATATATATATTAATAGATAAACCTAGTGAGTTAGACAAACATACCCAGGTTTCACTAAGCTTACTCGTATCGTTTTTTTCTTTGGGCTTCAAACCTGTATCTGTACGATTTTTTCGACAGACTTTCATGTATCTAGATCTTTCATTTTTAAAACCTTTTTTCCATCGAGATTGATTTGATTATTGGCAAATCAAAATTCGAGGGTTTTTCGAAACGAGTATAGTTATCTCTCTTTCTATATATATATATATATATATATATATGGCATCCTGATAGTGGTAATATAAATGTGTCCAGTAATTGTTAATAGTACTATCCCACTTGTTTACAACTCGTTGGTAGATATTCGTATTTTATATAATTATATTTAAAATGTTTAAACCTAACTAAACTTATAAAACAAATATATATATATATATATATATATATATATATTATACATATATATATATTTTTGAGAACTTTAACATACACTCACGAGAGAGAGACGGGGAATAGTGGTGTGGGGAGCAAGCATGACAAGTGTGAGGAGAGCAAGCGCGACAAGTGGGGTAAAGAGATAGATGTTAAAGTTCTCAGAATAAATCTGTAGAGAAGACAATTTTAATAAAATAGACAATCGGAAAATAGTCAATGACAAAAAGTGTCGGCAAGGACTAAATACTATTTGACATTGTTGACATGGAAAACAAAAACACACACTTAGTAAAAAAAGAAAAGAAAAAGTTACTAATATCCAAAAAGTGGCTTAAGCGAGAGTGTCTTAAAATTTTTTAATTTCATGTAACTACACAACATTTCAGGAGGCACGGTGGAGTAATGGATAGCCGTTCGGATTGAGGAATTGGAGAGCTGAGTTCGAATTCCAGTCGAATCTATTACATTCACTTAGATGCTAATACTCTTGGGTATGAATCATCCTCTTATCCCTCAGCTATGGGTAAATAGCAGGACAGACCTCATTCTATAGCCTTGTCTATCGCAGAAAGAAATAGCAAACTACTGTGGGGAAAAATCTGCCTCGTCAGTCATGTATCGAAAGATACATGATTACCTAAGCATGCATCACGCACATAACTGACTGACTAGATTGCATTTTTGTTTTTTATAAAGTCAGATGAGAAAACGCATCAGCAAGGACTAAGTACTATTTTCGAATTATATATATATATATTTGGTGTATTCACTTAATAGTAAGGTTAATGTATAATATTAGCCAATGCATATGAGTGGTCAGATAATATTTGATATTTACCATCTGTGTATTCTTGATGATAGGTCACCTCATAAAATTTGATAATGCCATTTGGTTTTTTGGGTCGAGTCCAACTGACATTAAGTGATTGGAGCATGATGCTGAAAAATGTCAGATTCCCTGGAGGCCCTGGAGCTGTGGAAAAAATGATAATCATCATGAAAATCCCATTAGCACAGATTTGACAGTGGAGGAATGGCGATTGACCTAGAACTGTTCAAGAAAAAAATAATGTGGAAATAGAAATTACAAGAAAGTTACATTTAAAGCCAATCATTACTGTAGTGTTAGTAGTAGTAGGAGCACTAGAATGGATTTAGAAGACTCATATTATAACATAGCTTGTTCCCCTATTACTTAGCATGTACATTGTTCTGACATTGCCTCAAATAAATAATGGACCATTCTGGTTTGATTGCATGTAAAGAGATGTATCAGTTTCATTGATAATTATCCTTCATTAATGAAATATATTTTAGATAGTTAGCAATAAGAAAACAAAAACAATTGAATATAAAATAAAAACAATTATTTTTAATATGAAGAAGGCTGAAAGAAATAATGGCTGAAACATTGTGAGATTAACAAAGATGAGAAAAATAGTTTTAATGTAAATACTTTTATGTGTCTTTTGTGGTCTTCTAAGGAATTGAGGATTTTTTTTTTGTTTTTCATGAAAAGCATTCAGACCAGAATAAATGGCATTCCAAGTTTGGAATTTGAATTCAGATTTGGTTTGGTTTATGGCATATCAAAACCTCAACGGGTCATTTAATGCCGACAACTATTTTTTTCTGGTAATATTTTTGTTTTGTTAAAAATCTATTTCTGTTAATAATTTTTCCTCAAAAAATGTATAGCTGGTAATATTTTTTCTTTTTTCAAAAATTCATTTCTGGCAATAATTTTTTTACAAAGTATCTCTGGTGTTAAAACCTATTTTACACTTTTATAATGCCTTTTACCTCAGTTTCTATATGCCCATAGCTGGGACCCTAACAGGTACTACCACCCGGGTCAAGTTAGACCTGGGAACACCAGCAATTAAGAGTAGGTTCTACGCCACTCAAAGCCTCCTGATCAGAATAATATATACCTGCTGGATGTAGTTTATCGTCATACCCAGGACGCCCCATTGGGTGTGTGTTATGGGGAGTTTTTAACCGTCTGCAGAGGTGCAAATGGTTAATTCTTTTATTAAGCCAATAGATTTGAATTCAAATTTAGAAGGAAATGGAAAGGAGAGGGAATACAGAAATAAATAAAGAAACTATTTGGTTTGGTCTGTTTTACGGCATATCAACCTCAATAGGTTATTTCATGCAGACAATCTAAAAAATGTATTGCTGGAAATAATGTTTCGCTGATAATTTTTTTTACAGAGTATTTCTGATATTAAAACCTATTTTTACATTTTCATAGTATTTTGACCCCAGTTTGAGGGTTAACTATTTGCCCATAGCTGGGACTCTAACAGGTGCTACTACTCCAGGTCAGGGTGGACCTGGTAACACCAGAAAATAAGAGGTGGCTCCATGCTCCTGAAAACCTCCTGATCAGATCCCTTGCTGTTGGGTGTAGTTTATCGTTACACCCCGAACAGAAAGAAGCTATTGGATGTTTCAGGTCAGCTTCAGGGAAATGCATATTAGGTAGGGAAATAGACAGCAAATATGATAAAATTATAGATGGAAGAAAGAATTTGGCTTATTCTGCTTATCAGATCAGTTTGTTCAACATCACTATTAGAGAAGCACACATACACATATATATATATATTATTTACATTATACTTATTGTCCTCATCTTTTTTGCCATATTTATTACAACGTTTTGGCCGTTGGACGTTCTGGCCTTCTTCAGGTGGTTCATGTCGAACTGAGCCCTTTATTTCGCTCACTGGGGTAGACTGTTCTAGTTCCACGTTTAATGGATGTCAGTTATCTCCTGTTAATTTCCCTCTGAAAGTTCTCCACTGCCTTAACCGGATATTGAACTCACACTCTCTGGGTCCTGTCTCTGGATTTAACCAGCACCTTTATCCACTGTGCCATTGGATTTATTATATATATATATATATATATATATATATATATATATATATATATATATATATATATATATATATATATATTTAGCAGAGTTATTAGAACCTTCACATTCTGACCTAGAAACTCGGGTTCGAGGGGTTTATCCCAGTGTGCGGCACCTTTGGAAAGGTGTCTGAAAACCATACCACGGGTCGGACCCAGGCCTTTGAGTAAAATTAGGTAGACGGAATCCTTGACCAAGCTTTTTGAAGTGTGCTGGCAATTGTTCAGATTGTTGATCATGCTAGATAACACGCTTTCTCCCAGGAACTGTAATAAAGGTCTGTTTAGCATAGTTGCAGTAGAAACCATAGGTGGGCTCGGGTGTTGAACACAAATTTGCCTGAGCGAGTATATTTCATTTGGGATTGGCTATCCTCCTAGTAGACGGATATCCTTGAATAAAAATAAATATATATATATATATATACACATATATATATATATATATATATATGTGTGTGTATATATATATATGATTAGTCTATTAAATCAAAGAATGAGCTAACTGTTAAATGCAGACATTGCACAGCATCATTACCTTGCAATCTTGGTAAAGTGTTATTATATTTTAGCACATTGGAACGTTAATATTAGTTTGTATTACTATTACTTTTTACTGTTTTTATTTATATACTAATATATTTTAAGACATTTTTTATGTTTATACGTTCTTTTTATAGATACAAATATTTAAGTAAATGCTCTGTTTATAATAAACAGTATTAACGACATTTACCGGCCTGAATGTCCGAGAAATTTCCATAGAAAATATGCGTCTTCCGACAGGAATCGAACCTGTATCCTTAATGTCGTTAATACTGCTTATTATAAACAGAGCATTTACTTAAATATTTTTATCTATAAAAAGAACGTATAAACATAAAAATGTCTTAAAATAATTGTCGGACTTTGTCCATATATATATTTATTACTTGTCTCTAATTATTACCTATTCTTATTTGCTATTGATTTAACCTAACAGTAAGTTGTTATTGAATAGTCGTGATACTTTAGGATTATCTTGGTAGGAATGCGTGTATATGCATGTTAGTATATTTATTTTTCACTTCTATTTTATATGGGTGTATTTATCTATGTTTGCACGCATGTATTTCTAAGTATTAGTTTTTATGTCTATATGTATGTTTATATGTGGGTTTTTATGTAATTGTAAATTTTTTTTTACATACGTATGTATGTAGGTGTCTATATGTGTGTTTATGTATACACATCCTTTCTTTTCTTTATTTCGTTTGTAGTGATTACTACTATGTTTGCCACGCCTACATTTTTCTCAACTGTGATTGGTCAAAAATAATAAATTAAACAGGACAATTTACTGATCGCATTCACCACACAAAATGAATTTTTCCTACCGTTAATTCACAAACATGCTTTTGTTATAAAATCACCGATTTGTTAATTTTTCATCCAATCAGATATTTTTCGTGTTCTTTCAAAATTTATCCCGAGTTCGTACTGGGAGCCTACCGATAGTAATATAACATTATCATTAAACGAAGAAAGAAAATCACAATATTGATCCATATTTTTTAATCCAATCTAATCTTTCGGTTTACATAAGCCATTATCAAAGATGTCAATTAAGGTACAACATATTAAGCGGACAAGACAAAATCAATGGAATCTCTACAAATATACTTAAATGTCTATGATTGGTAACAGAAGCCATTGATTTATACCAACGTCTTCCTATACTTAATACTTCTCGAATTCACTCTCGCGTGGTCATGTGTGACGTCATGATCTGTGGTGCGATTTTCGCTTCTAGAGTTTTATATGCATGTGTTTATCGTTGCTAGGAAATCATCCATGTAAACAATCACAGACTATTATCACTGTCTTGTCCGTATATTACTTAATATGTTGTACAGTAATTGACATCTTTGATAATGGCTTATGTAAGCCGAAAGCTTAGATTGGATGAAAAAATATGGATCAATATTGTGATTTTCTTTATTCTTTAGTTTAATGATAAAGTTATTAAGCTTATCAGACGTTATGAAAAGAATTTACATAAAATAAATAGACAACATTTGTCTATATTATTTAATGAAACATGTTTATATATATATATATATATATATTTAAAATATATATTTCTTATATATATATGTTTCCGAAAAAATTACCATGTTTCAAAAAACCGAAGTTAAAAACTTCAAATTTAATTATATAATTAAATTAAAATTAAATTCCAAAATTCGCTTGAAGATGAAACCATAATTTATAATATTTATGTTCTGTAAATTTACATTGAGCACTGTTTTGTAAAAATATCAATAAGAACACCGGAATATATATCTTACTGTTCTTTTTTTTTTACAATATTAATATATATTATATATATATATATATATATATATATATATATATATAAGCAGCAACCTCGGTGATCGTTAATACGACAGACAAAAGAAGAGTTGATGAATATTCTATTGAGCTTTAGTAGTATTCTTAATGTTTTTTTCTTTTTTGTTGGGTTAAAAGGAGTGTAAAAATCCTCTGTCAAGTTAATTGTCCCAAGCGCCTTTAGTCACTGTTGTTTAATTTCTTTTCATGGTTGTCTTTTGAAATGTAGTTGTGTGATGCCGATTGCATGGTAGTCGCGTTTATTTCCAGTGCAACGAAATGAATAAGGCTGGTATTCAAGTTTGGATTCTATTAAAACAACAACAACAAAAAGAAAAACCTTTTAACACATGGTTTCCATTGTTAAATAAGGTGAGATTAATATAGGGTGACAGATGTTTTATGTAGAGTGATTCTTTTACAGCAAAATGTTCTCCGTTACAGGATTTATAAAAGACAATCGTGTCACCGAGAAGAATTTCCCCTATGGATTCTTGTGCATGAAAAAAAAAATATATATATATATATATATATATATATGGATGAATATAATTAAAAAAATATGAAATCAGCCACTTACAGTACTATGGTTTCAAACATTGAGATTTCGTCAGGCGGTAGACTAATAGCCCTCGATGAGACCTCATTGGTTGAAACCATGGTAGCGTAAGTATTGGATTTTCTATTTTTTAATATTTAAAAGCTCTGAATTGTGTATCGAGCACTTTTTAATATAACCAATCTCTGGTCAGATTCAACTCTGTCCAACAACTGTTTTATATATATATATATATCCACTCCTCAATAATTGTATTCCATTCCAATGACCTGGTCACTAAGGGAGAAGTCTCTGATCATTTTCTCTTATTGTTTCAAAATTGTCAATTTGTTGAGAATTCTGTCAAATGTGCTTAGCCATGGCCAATTATTATACAATCTCCTCCTTTTCTCGAGTTACAGTTCGCGAACACACAAACACAGCAGAGCCCATGTTATATCTTAAACACTTATCTCTCTTTCTTTCTTTGCTTTTCAGTGACGTCAGACAGAGAAGCTAAAAAAAGTAATGCAAAAAACTTTCTTGAAAGGACTGAATCAATTTTTACCTCCTTGTTTTGTCTGCACGATGACTTCGTTTGCTCTAGGTCCCTGTCCAGCTGTATTAAAAGCCAGAATGGAAATAGAATACTTTGAATACATCGCCAAGTGATCGAGAATGACAAAGGTGTTCAAAGTTGTCATGCTGTTTGTTTTTGATGGCCTGCTGAGACGAAAATATTTCACCTGCAAAAGACAACATGAAGATCTATTTGAGCAAATCTGGAAAACGAAGATCTATTTGAGCAAATCTGCAAAACGAAGATCTATTTGAGCAAATCTGCAAAACGAAGATCTATTTGAGCAAATCTGCAAAACGAAGATCTATTTGAGCAAAATGAGCAAAACGAAATTCATTTGAGTAGATTCTTCAAAACGAAGATCTATTTTGAAAGCTAATCTGCAAAACGAAGATCTATTTACAAGCTAACATGCAAAACGAAGATCTAATTTGTTATAATCTGCAAAACGAAGATAATTTGAGCTAATCTGCAAAACGAAGATCTATTTGAGCTAATCTGGAAAACGAAGATCTATTTGAGCTAATCTGGAAAACGAAGATCTATTTGAGCTAATCTGGAAAACGAAGATCTATTTGAGCTAATCTGGAAAACGAAGATCTATTTGAGCTAATCTGGAAAACGAAGATCTATTTGAGCTAATCTGGAATCGGAGAGTTTTGAGCTAATCTGGAAAACGGAATTATTTGAGCTAAAAAAAACGAAGATCTATTTGAGCTAATCTGGAAATACGAAGATCTATTTGAGCTAATCTGGAAAACGAATATCTATTTATATTAATCTATATATATATCTATTTAAAAAATTTGGAAAACGAAGATCTATTTGAGCTAATCTGGAAAACGAAGATCTATTTGAGCTAATCTGGAAAACGAAGATCTATTTGAGCTAATCTGGAAAACGAAGATCTATTTGAGCTAATCTGGAAAATGAAGATCTATTTTAATGGAAAAGAAGATCTATTTGAGCTAATCTGGAAAAAAAGATCTAGCAGAAATTTAAATCTGGAAGATCTGAAGCGTGAATCTGAAAAATGAAAAAAGGAAAAATAAACCCATCTGAATTTACAAATATGTGGCTTTGTTCTTGGCTGTTTTTTTTTTATTATTTATTTTTATCTGTGATTATATCATCCGTTCACAACATGTCAAGTTAACATTCGAAAACATGAAATAAAATATGAACGATTTTTGGTGTGCATGCGACAGGATATAACCTATTTATTAAATGATTGATTTTTTTAAATTAAACATAACTGCTTGCATAATTGATTTATATTATTTACAGAACATTATACAGGGTATTCATAAGGTTCGTGTGCACTTTAAAAAAATTATAACTTTATTTGTATTTTCGATAGAAATAATCTGTAAAAAATCTTATAATACAGTATTTCAACAAGATGGCGCTCCTTGTCACTTTGGTCTGCGTGTTAGAGAGTTTCTAAATCACGAATTTCCTAACAGATGGATCGGAAGGGGTGGACCATTTTATTGGCCTCCACACATTCGCCAGATTTGACTCCATTAGATTTTTTTATGGAGACATGTGAAAACAATTGTGTATGCAACCAAACCTAGTTCATTAGAAGATTTGAAAGCTAAAATAACTAATGTGATTTCAAGCATTACTGTAAATCAGTCGGCTAATGTTTTCCGTGAACTGCAAAATCGTATTACCCTTTGTATTGCAAATGATCGAGGACATGTGTAAACTTAAATAAAACCTTAAAAAAACATAGATTTACTTCTTTCTAATCCTTTTTACAAATTATTTCTATCGCAAATACAAATAAAGTTATAAATGTTTTAAAGTGCACATGAACTTTATGGACACCCTCTATATTTGTTTTATTGCCAAGTATTTTCAACATATCCATTTCATCATCAGGGTATTGTTTATAATAAAATAAATATTTTATATTGAAATGCCAAGGTTTACAATAATAGTTTCTTTTTTGCTACTCGTGTCATAAAAAAAACTTTCCAAACCATACTTAGTTACTTCCCTTTAAACAGTTTCAGCGGTCACACACTGACGCAGCGATCCTCACTCCATTTTTTAAAAAAGCTTTCCCCCCAAGCAAGGCGGTAGTGTCACTAGCACGCAAGGGGTTACAGAGAGTGGGAGCAAGAGAAAAAGGTGTGAAAGAGGAAAGGGTGAAGAAAAGAACGGGGAATAGAACAAGACATCTGGAGATATCGATTGGCATTGTATTTGAATAGTTGGAGATTATATCTATCAGGGAAGTAAGTAAGAGGAAGGGAGTTCCACAGACGGGAAGTGCAAGACATGAAGCAGTAGAAGAGACGGTTTCACTTAACCGTTTCGACAGTGAAAGGGTGGGACCGAGATGCCTACCAAGTGGCACGTTAATATTCATGTAGTTTTGGGAACTAACAAAAGTAGCTCCGTGAAAGTATTTTTTTTTTTAGAAAAGACAGAGGGAGGCGACAGCACGTCTGTGAGAGAGCGATTGTAAATGAGAAGCCAGATCAGGGCCAACCTCATTGCATATCCGTCTCTGGATTTTGTCGAGGACCTTAAGACGACCAGCGGGGGCTCCAGACCATATATGGCAGCAGTATTCCGTGCAAGGACGAATGGCTGATTTATAGATTTGAAGGATGGACTCGGGCGAGAAAAACTTTCTGGCGCGATACAGAAAACCAGCTTTCCTTGCGGTAGATGAAGCTATTGATTCAATGTAATTGTTTCATCCCAGGTCAGCGGACAACGTGAGACCAAGCAGTTGTAAGAAATTTAACTGTCAGAACAGTTTTAGAGGTCATGCCGTGACGTAGCATTCCTCATACCATTTGTAAAAGATTTAACTTTCAGATATCACAACAATTTGTCTCTGACAATAATGGATACTATAATATTTATTTTATTATAAACAATACTCTGATGATGACATGGATATGTCGAAAGTACTTGTTAATTGTTGTAACCTATGGAAGGTTACTGAATAGCATAATCAAACGAAGGTTGATAATGAACGATAATACTTAGGAAACGAACAACACATATAAGATTCGACAGCGGCGCGTAGAAATAGTCAACAGATAGAAGTGAGTCAAGTGAATTCCACAATGAATCTCAAACTGCTGACTAACATACAGTATTTACTACTGTATTTATGCGAATGGGGACAGACATACCCATTATCGTCCGTAGGCATGCTACAACAGTAATAAAACTAAATGTATAAACACAGATTTTCTCTCGTCTTTCAGTAATGACATTAAAAACTTATCCATGAGTATGAAAGGATCTTAATTGAAGTGAGTAGACAGAAATGTCTAAACTGTACAATGAAACATGTCAATATGCTGCCGAAATATACGTGTGTGTGTATTATTTACATATATATATATATATATTGTTAAAGCTCAAGTATGGATCGGAATCCGACAGGAGGATAAAATAAACAAATAGAAAATGTATATCAATCTAACAGATTTCACTTTTATTAAAGCTTCGTCAGAGATTGAGAGAAAATAGAGACACTAAAGACAGAAACACTGGTATTTTCAATTATGTTTGGGTCAGTTCTCATTGGTCAAACGTGTCATATATTAAATCCATTGAAAATTCTCTGTTTATGTAGGTTTGTGAAAATTCTTGTATGTCTAAGTGGCAACTGATTGGTAATGTGTTTTTGTAATTGTGTATGTGTGTCTGTCTAGTGGAAGTTCAATCATCACGTTTTTGCAGTCAAATACTCGACTCTCCCGTCGAATTCAACGTATGAGGGTCAAGCAGATAAGTTCCTAGGAACCGACAGCCCGACACCAGCACAAGAGATTTGATTATAAACCATCCACACTTTTTGAAGGGCCGAATCCAGAGACCTGGTGCACAAGGTCCCCAAACGACCCTCCGCAGGTTTTGAATTCAGAGTTATCCTTCTACTAGACCAGTTGCTATCCAAGGCTATAGAACCCATTCTGTCCTGCTATTTACCCATAGCTGGAGGGAGAAGACGCGGATTCATAACTTTCCCAAGGGTATTAGCACGTAAGTGAATGTAATGGATTCGAGTGGAATTCAAACTTGGCTCTCTGATTCCTCAATCTAAGCCGCTATCCGTTACTCCAGAGTGCCTCCTTTTGCAGTTTATATATTAAAATCTCGTGACCGTCTTCAGGTAAAACGGAGATTTCCACATATTAAAAATAATTAATTTTTTCCTTATGTTTTTCAATGTTAAATATTCTCGATATGAGACATTCTCTGTTTTTGTGTTAGTAATCCGAATGTCTTTCTTGAATTGACAATGAAGAGTTCTTCGCGAAGGGTCATAAAACAATTAAGGTTGGTCCTAGAGAAATGATGAATTACTTATCGGCATTTTATCTTTTAATCTTTTACTGACCCCTGTGCGTTCTTAGATCTGTTTCCATTTTCGTGTGTTTCTGTCAGCATGCGTGTATATATTTCCCCTCCATACATTTTAATATACATACTTTTCTCCCGTTGGAACCACTACAACCTCTTTATATATATATATATATATATATATATATATATAAAGAAAAACAGACCCCACTTTAAGGCTCCATTTGTAATAATTTATTTCACCAGAGAATTTTATTTTTATCTGGATCTTCAGATCTCACTTTCAAAAGGTGGAACGAAAAATGAATTTAAAATTTACCCTTTTGACAGGCAGTATTAAGCTTATATAAGTTGACATAGAAGGTGGTGAGGAATAGTGTGAGAGACATGGTCGAGTTTAGAGAGGGGAGGGAGAGTTTTAAAATTTATTTTTATATTTCTTTTTATTATAATACTTAATATTGAGGAAGGAGGGGGTAAGGATCAGACATTGACCTATTTAATCAGTCAACTAAACGAAAATGATATGGGAAAAAGATAAAAGGGGAGAAAGGGGAAAGGAAAAAAAGCGGGGGTGGAGAATAAAGGGATAAGATATAAGAGATGTACGTAGGGTTTTGGGAGGACGGGGAGGGGAGGTATAGCTTTAGCAATTTAGATAAACACAGAGTTTAACGTTTGATAGTAATTTAAATGTTTAAAAACTGCACAAAGAAATTAAATTTAATGCTTGTTAGCAATTTAAATATTCAACTTTTATATATATATATATATATATATATATATATATATATAAAAAAAACGAAAACGCATCTATGTAATTACAATAGTGTTTAAAAATGACGGTTAGAAAAAGACAAATTTTGTAATATAAGCCGATAATAAAAATACATATTTGAATATTTGTCTCTATTAAAACAATTTTAATTTTTTTTTTTTTTTATATTTATTTCAAATTGTCTTAAAAGGAAACTTCTGATTTTTGTTAAAAAAAAAATGGAAGATTTAATTGTAAATTTGCTTTTTAACGCCCGCGCTAAATATCTCTTAAAATGTTCCCAAATCGTCATAATTCCGTGTAAATGTTCATGCTGAACTCGAATTAACAATTAAATTATGAAGAAACCTACCGTTTTGGAGTTATCAACAAGAAAAAAATCGGACTTCTTGTTGGTCATTCGTCCACCATTACTGTCATAATGTTCACTGAACAGTGCGGGGTACTTCCGTTAGCGTAAGCATAATTTTTGGCCTATTTACTTCTTTTTACAGCTATATCTATTTTTGAAATCACTACGCATTATCGTAAAGTATTTTTTTTTTATATGCGTAGTGTTATTTATAACAGAAAACTTTAAAGCAAAACAAATTCAATAATACAATAAAATCATGGCGATATTTAAGAGGTATTTAGCGCAATTCACTCTGAATAATTTTTCCATGAAAACTCACATTACTAAACATTAATTAATAGCATATTTATTGTATCTTCTTATATGTACCTATATTTTAATAAAAAAATACGCAAACTAGAAATCAATTGTGAATGAGACTAAAATTTGAGGTACAAATTATATCATTTCCTTTTAGTAATTTCAACAGATTTTTTTTTTATCTAGAATTTTCACTTCACTTACTGTCCTTGAGGACACATGGCCCAGTGAATAAAAGCGTTGGTTGGATCCAATGACTTGATCTAAAGAATTGTGAATTCAGTATCCGACTACAGCAGTGGTGAACAAAAACTTGTAGAGTTGAGTTAAAGCGAGATAACCGAGACATCCGGAAGAGGCATAGCACGTGGAACTAGAACAATCTACCCCGGTGAATGAAATAAAGCGTTCAGTTTGAAATTCCAATCACAACGACCAAAACGTCATGAATTATAGCAATAAAAACGAGGACAACAGTCTGAACAATGTAACTAATTACAATACCTCTTCTCAGAAATATAAACGGAATTTTGACTGTATAACATTTTGACTGTAATATTTCCTAAATGCATTGACATGGAAGATTACGTTTAAGGACGTGAATGACTCACCTTGTAACCAGATATCTTGCCGTTTTGAGAGACCTGGGGAGGAGGATCCCATGTAACTTTGACCCGTGTACCATTCAATGCTTCTGCTGTGACATTCACAGGTGCGGCCGAGGGAGCTGTCAAAAAAAAAAAAAAAAAACGCAATCAATTATCTGCATAAAACTAGTGACCTTTATGTAAAAACGATAAAATATTTGAGGGGTCAAATGATCACGTGTATTCTTGGGTAGATTAACAGATATCGGCGTGGGAATTGGAAATGCTTGGCATAGTCCATATTCCTTTGTACAAATACAATTAGGAAAAGCAGAAATCTGCACCCCGGGCTTATTTAAAGCTTAAAAATAATTTTTAGATCCTATCATATTTTTTTTTTTTTTTTTTTTTAATAGTTTAGGGATACAAAGCTTACTTCTTGACCTATAGCTGGAGGAGAAGAGGTAGATTAATACCTAATCAGAATTTGATAAACAAGAAATTATAATGTGAGCATGAAGTGGGGGATCAATTCTATATTACAATCAATATATAAACTGATCCCTCACAAATCTAAATGACATGTCTGTGTAACTAAATAGTATTTCATTGATTGATTGGTATCTGTCTATATTTCTGAGATGAGGTATTATGTACACTATTTACATTATTCAGACTATTGTCTTCATTTTTGTCGCCATATTTATTACAACGTTTCGGCCCTTTGTACGCTCCGGCCTTCTTCAGGGTTCAGTTCGACATTCCAACCACCTGAAGAAGGCCGGAGCGTACAACGGCCGAAACGCTGGAATAAATATGGCGACAAAGATGAGGACAATAGTCCGAATGATGCAAATAGTGGATTGATTGATTGATTCGTTTTCTATGGTTTATCAATCCTTTGCGGGTTATTTAAAGCCAGAAAATATTTTAGGTTGTGAGAAAAATTTATTTAATGACACGAGTCTTATCCCTGGGGAGTGGAGAACAGATAGATTAATACCTGATCAGAAATTGATAAACAAACAAGAAATTATAATGTGAATATAAAGTGGGCGATCAATTCTATATTAGAGTTGTTTATCTTTACAAGAAATTAGATTAATCATAGCAAATTACTTATTTTTTGACAATGTATGCCCGTGACTGTGAGATCTGTGGAGGTAGATCAAACAAGGAAGGAATCTACTAACTGGATGATAATTGCTGAAATTGCAGGAAGATGGATTGAAGAACTGAGAAGAAAATTAAAAAAAAATACGTCGAAAAATCATGTTTTGAGATAAATCTGGGTTCGATTCTCCTTGGAATTAACTATACAAAGTTCAGTAAGACTGAACAAGCCAAGAGTGCCTGTTCTTCCCCACCTCCCAACGATAAGAAAGAGACCATTAAGATAACCACAAAGATGTCAGATAAAACAGGTTTCGAATCAACCAACCAGAAGACAAGATAATTTCTGCAACATTCCGACATTCTCGTCCAGAGAATTTTATACCCAAAACATTAATTCTGATCCCTTTGGATACAAGTGGTAAGGAAAAATTAATTACTATTTTGAAATGGCCATGAGCAGGAAGGCTGTGTGGGCTAGTCGTTCGTAAAATAAATACATAAAAACAGAGATAAACTTTCGTTTTAAGGAGAGTGGAAATAGATTTTTCTTTCTCCAATTCTTGAGTAGTTTGGTCATCTAAATGATCCCAGCATGGGGCAAGCTGATTGACAAGGACTAATGACTGAAAATCCCTTTTCAAAATAGTTTTGTTATTAAAACTATTTTTATTATAGCAAGTGCCGGCAGAACAGAAATATTCTCAAGTAGCATCTGTTATCTGTGTGACACTGAGATCTCCAGAAGCTGATCAAACAAAAAGAGAAAGAAAGAAATAGGAGAAAGTCTACTAACTGGATGATAATTGTTGAAATTGCAGGAAGATGGATTGAAAAGTTGAGAAAATTAAAAACGAAATGCGATGAAAATCCATGCTTAGATATAATTCCAAGGAGAATCGAACCCAGATTTAACTAAACGAAATTCAGTAAGCAAAACCAAGACTACCCGTTCTTCCCCATTTCCCACCGATAAGAAAGAGGCAATTAAGGTATCCACGAAGATTTTAGATAAAATAAAAACATATGTTGTCAATAGAGAAATCCAGGTGGTCACCGAAATAACATTCACGGTTCCTCTGGACAAGAAGAAAAAAATCCATTTCGAATCACCCACACAGAAGAAAAGCATCCCGACGTGTCCGACATCATAATTTCGGTGACGTTCGTCCAGTGAAAATTTTATATCCAAACATTAATTTGGATTCCCTTGGATACAAGTGGTAAGGGGGAAAAATGCAATTTTGAAATGATCACGGACAAGAAAGCTGTGTGGTTTATTCGATCGTTAAAAAAAAATGCATAAGACAGAGAAAAGATAAACTTTCGTTTTGAGTGGAAATGGATTTCTCTTTCTTTTTCCAATTCTTGAGTGGTCTGGTCGATGGGACAATTTGGAAGATAAAGATTAATGAGTGAATATCCCTTTTATCTTCGCTGCGCCATCTGGAAGTTAGATTTATCACTCCAGGCGGGCTGAGGTTAGCTACTGAGAAACTGGGAAAAGGAAGAAGAAAGAGAAGGGAGAAGGAAGACAGGGAGAGGAGAAGAAAGAGAAGGAAGAAGAAGAAGGAAAAAGAAAGAGAAGGGAGAAGAGAGAAAAATAATCACGCATCTACAGTGATAGAGTGGAGGCGTTCATATCTATCTCCGTCCATTCACATCTCTTTCTATCTATCTCCGTCCATTCACATCTCTCTATCTCGGTGTGTTCTTATCTATCTCAGTTCAATTAAAAAAAAAAAAAGAAAAAAGTCCTCTCTTACTTACGTGCATAGCCAACAAAATAAATAAAAGGTTTGCTGGCTGGACTCTTCCCAATTTCATTATAAGCGATGACACGAAATTCGTAGTTGACAAATTTGTTCAAACTTGACAGCTGACACCATATCGAGTTTCGTTTGGATTTGTAAGTAATGTCTTCTTGTTGAAATTCCGCCAAGTCATCTTGCCGGTACTGGACAATAAAACCCAAAAGAGGCCCATTCCAGGTGCTAGAATTGGGGACCTGAAGAGGAAAAAAATGATAGAGTGAATATTAATATTGGCAGAGCTGAAAAAAAATTAATGGATTGAATGGGTGAAGAAAGAGCGTTGTTGAAGAAAGACGGCGTGGGGAGGATAAAAGGGGCGAAATCAGAAAAGGACAGAGTGGTAGGGAAAAAAAAGAGGATCATTAAAGGAAAAAAAGAGAAAACAAAAGAAAAATTGGGAAAAAAACTACCTCCAAAGGAAAAAGGACGAAGAAAATTCATCGAGAAAAGAGAGACGGGAATGCAAAAGAAAAAATATATCAGGAGAAGAGACAAGAAGAGAGACGAGTGACGGAGGAGGAGACCGAAACGGAGACAAGTTTCGGAGGAGGAGGAGACCGGAACGGAGACAAGTTTCGGAGGAGGAGGAGACCGGAACGGAGACAAGTTTCGGAGGAGGAGGAGACCGGAACGGAGACAAGTTTCGGAGGAGGAAAAGACCGGAACGGAGACAAGTTTTTGGAGGAGGAGGAGACCGGAAGGAGGAGACCGGAACGGAGACAAGTTTCGGAGGAGGAGGAGACAGGAACGGAGACAAGTTTCGGAGGAGGAGACAGGAACGGAGACAAGTTTCATAGGTGGAGACAGGAACGGAGACAAGTTTCATAGGAGGGGACTGGAACGGAGATTAACTGTCGGGGGTGGAGACATGAAAATAAGTAAAAATAGACAAGTTTATAAAATCTTTAAAAAGCATTGGAATCACATTTATACGATAAAAACAATTTTCATATCAAAATCCTCACCTCCCAAGTTACATTAACTGAATCGGTTGTTATAGAGACGACTTTGACATTTGTCGGGGCTTTTTCGGGCACTGAAAGGAAAAAAGACAAGAAAAATAAAAAAAAATCAAGGCACTTAAATCAAACAAGAGTACAAATTTAAATATCTGAAGAGTGTGTTATCAGAATCAAGTTGATTAAAATATATAACCCTCTATACTAATATATTATTATCAGGTCATCCCATAAGTTCTGTCCTAATTTTAACATTTTTTAAAATGAACGAAATTTAAAGAATATTTTATAATGTCTAATGGAGCTGAACATTATTTTTATATTTAGATGCATTTAAACTGATCAAATTTTATTTCAGAGAAGAATAAAATTAAATTTTGTTTGATTAAAACCCTGCTAACATGGAAGTACCCAAGAATCATTTGAGGCACATAATGCTTTATGAGTTCAAGAAAGGAAACTCAGCAGCCGAAGCGGCTAGAAACATTTACTCGGTTTATGGAGAGGAATGTGTGAATGAAAGAACTTGCAGAAGATTGTTTGCAAAATTCAGAGGTGGAGATTTCACCCTTGAAGATGAAGATCGAACCGGACGTCCAGTTGAGTTTGATGAAAAGCTTCTTGAAGCAGCCCTTGAAGAAAATCCTGCTTTATCAGTTGAGGAATTGGCAGTGGTTCTCAGTTCAAACCATACAACTGTTCATCGTCATCTTCAACAACTTGGAAAAGTTTCTAAACTTGGAAAATGGGTGCCTCATGAATTGTCTGAAAACAACCTCAAATCCCGAGTTGACATCTGCTCTTCTCTCCATTCTCGCCAACTTGTTTCACCTTTTTTGGATAGACTTGTGACTGGCGACGAAAAATGAATCTTTTATCGAAATGTTAAGCGTCGTAGACAGTGGCTTGGTAAAAGGGAAGGACCCGAGAAGGGAACTTCATGGTCAAAAGGTTCTTCTTTCAATCTGGTGGGATCGCCAAGGAATAATCCACTTTGAATCCTTACCACCTAATGCAACAATAAATGCTCAAATATACAGTCAGCAATTAGAGCGTTTGAACCAAGCTTTGAGGAAAAAAAGACCTGCTCTAGTGAATCGAAAAGAGGTGATGTTTCATCAGGACAATGCGCGACCCTACACAGCAAGAATCACGTCACAAAAGATCGAAGAACTTGGTTGGGAGAAAATTCCTCATCCACCTTATTCTCGAGATCTTGCTCCTTCAGACTGCCATTTGTTTCGTAGCTTACCGAATAATTTGGAAGAAACAGCTTTTGTAACACAGGAAGAGGTTAAAACTGACATTTGTGAGTTCTTCGGATCAAAGCCAAAAGAATTTTACAGTAATGGAATTAGTAAGCTTGTTAATAGATGGAAGGAAGTCATAGATAATCAGGGAAATACATTGTTGATTGAATCTGTAATTAAATGTAACATTTGGTCACTTGTTTTCTTTATTCAAAATTCGGACAGAACTTATGGGATGACCAGATAAATACGTTTGTAAACATGTGTCTATATTTCTGAAATAAGGTATTGTAACTCTTTACATTATTTACATTATTCGGACGGTTGTCCTGATTTGTTATTATTGTGTCCTTGTTAGTTCCAAAAATAAAGACACAAGAGAGGAACCGAGTTAAACAAATATATTAACAGAAACGGTAATACAAACATATACAAACGAGAGTGTTGCAGCAAGAATGTTTGGTCCGACTGTCAGAGCTAACTGCTGGAAACTTCCCTCTCCAAAAGGCAGTACCTGCTCCTATTTATAGCTGGGTAAATTAACATAACAGTTATTGCCATATTCACAACATTTCTGCCGTTGTACACTCCGGCCTTCTTCAGGTGATCTACGTTGGAATTTCGAATCGAACCCTTTAGATTGTTCTAATTCCACCTGTCATAACTTTTTTTTTTGATGTTTCAGTTTTAGCGGAGATAACAAAATGTTGGAGAATTGGGTTACTAAGGTAAAATTTCTGAAACAGATATCCAAAGGCATGGCACGTAGAATTAAAATAAAAAAAAGACCATGGACTAAATAAAGGGTAAAGTTCGAAATTCCTAAACGAAACAAAACCGTAATTTTTGAAGAAGGCTGGTCTTCTCAAAATTCGAAACATTGTGAATATGGCAATAATGATGACAACCAAAAACGATTTAAATAGTGTAAATAATTACAATGCTTCATCTCAGAAATAGAGACAGATCCTGAGGAAGGCTAAAGCGTACAACAGCCGAAACGTCGTGAATATGGCAATAAAGATGAGGATGTAGTGGAAAGTTTGGTGGTTACCATTTATTTAATGGTGTTCACGGGTTCAAATCAATCCATACAAGTTTTTACTCTACGAATATGTTAAATAAAATGCAAAAACAAGAGGAAACAAGAAACATTTGTGATTGAAGACAAAAGACAAATATTTGAATAACAAGTAATTTCCAATATATTTTTGTAATGAGAATATTTTACAAAAAAAATATACTCAATTTTTTTAAAAAAAAACTTGTTAGTTTAGACACCATGTTGAATTCAAGTTTTACAATGAAAGATTAAATTTTGTTAATGAGTTCTAATTCGAAAGATTGTTTATTAAAATCTGTTATTGAAGATTCCGTAAATTAATTGCAAGAGAAAAATTTACTGTTCATGTAAGTAGTAAATGTTTGTAAAGTTGAATGCAATTTGTAATCAAAGAAGTTATTTATCTTTGATTGTTCGTTTAATACAATGTTCTCGAATGTAGAGAAATAAGTTGATTTTTTTTAGCAGAAATTTGTTTAACTTCTGCGTAAAGGAATTTGGTGAAGGAATAAAGTTCACCGATAAGTTTTGATGAGTGAATGTCAATATTGTTAAGTTGTAAAATGTTCGTACGAACGAAGAAACTTAAAATTGTGACGAAGTTTAGTTGCAATTCGATTTATGTCACAATTCTCAGTGGAGAGTGTGAATGGGTTTCTGTTTTTATTTACTTCGAGTAGCGCACACAGACTTGGCGCAAAGTTGGATTTCAGTCACGAGGCGTAAAAATTAGTTAAGCGTGGGTGGATAGTCACGCCTACTTGTATATTTATTAACCAATGAGGGCTTGAGATATTTTTTTGAAGGTGCATGAAGTTGAAAATGTCCTGGGATTCACTTTTTGTACAGATTTGACCCAACTGTTTGGGTATTGGAATAATGTAGAATTTGGGTTCTACAAGGACAACAATCTTATGTAAATAGCGTGTGTATTTGACCTGCTAAGTCTGACAGGTTCATAGTTTTCAAACAAAAATATAACATCATAAAGGAAAATTAAACATTCAACCACTTACCATCTTGTAATGTGCTGACATCACCAGAACTGTTACTAAAAGGACTTGTTCCAATGTCATTTGTAGCAGCTACCCGGAATCTGTATGTTGTGTTCGGCTTGAGGCTGTAACAAAGGGAGATAATTCTTGTTAGTTATAACAGTTTATAAGTTGACCAAATATATTAGGCTGCGGAAGATGCCAGAAATGATCTATAGCAAGAATTCCATTTTGCATTGCAATCCATTATACCTACATGTAATAAATCAAAGAAACACTGTTCACTAGATTCATTTATTTAGCATCGACAATTTATATGTATATTTCTTATGATTCACACATATTGCAATTGCATGTATCTATTTGTATTATCTATTTGTATGAATATAAAATTATTTTTGAAAAATAAATTTAAAAGATAATGTCATTTTCTTATTAGGTTGTGGCGGATGTGTGATGGAGAGGAAAAGAAGGTTTGAATTATCAGAAGGCTTAAAATTCTGTGTGTTCAATAATCTTCCATCTACAATAATTAATACAAGATAGAGAATAATAAAGATTCATAAACATCTTGTTTCAAAACGTAACAATTGAATTTATTAGTGTTTGGTGTACAAGCATAAGAGCTGAAGGTGTGATAGAGTTATGTCTCTTAGATTTGGAAATATTTGTATTTGAGCTCATAAAGTGAAAGTAATTATTAAACTGTAGTTTAGAAGAATAAAGTTTCTTTAGCATGTTTGGGATTGTGAGTTGTAAAGTTGGTAAAAGTTCAGAAGAGATTTCAGAGTTCGTACTTGCGTGAATGTTGGTAATGGTCTTTAAAGTCTGACTGCATTAGTTAAGACGGGAGTTCTTGAAGATTACATCTTGGCAGGAAGGAGAAAGATGAACTAAAAGAAAACACGAGGGAGTTTACGCGTGTTCTGTTTTAATAATTTTATTAACTTTTTTATAAACTTTATTGGGAGGCTCAAAACAGTTCTGCAGTGGAAAAACAGATTAGTCTGAACTGACCAATCATTACCAGCTAGAAAATAGATTAAACAATGAATGCTTGTTATATATTTTGTAAGATTGTGATGGTGAAAATTACAAAAGGAATAGTGGATTCCTAGCAGGGGTTAACTGGCTTGTTGTGGAAGATTCCACAAGGTGTTTCAAAAGATGTCAACGTTTTCTTGCTAAGGTTATCTTTTAACAACGTTTATGGAAGTTGCATTTTCACATGTATCTGTTAATGTTAATGGTCCCCCCTTTCTTCTTTCTTCTTTAAAAATGATATAACGATCCATCATTAAGGTTGTTTCTGAAATCTTCAAATAGCACAAGTTATAAGTATAACAGGTACAAATTAAACCCCCCCCCAAAAAAAAAACTCACCTGTTCTTAAACTTTAACGAAACAACAGACAACACATTGAAAATTCTAAGACTTCAAATGAACAGTATATATCTTAAAACCACAAAAGGTGTGTACTGATTCTCGACTTCGACATAGAGTCGGGAAATTCACTTTTAGTCCTGACTTCAGATGCAACTGAACTATTCATCTCAACGGCTTTCAGCGGCCACAAAGACGAACGCACGGTACACATTCGTAGATAAGTTTTGGCGCGAGGTTTCTTTATAAGAGAGAACTGACGTCACCCAGTCCGCGAGAATTTGGTTTGGTTTGGTTTACGGCATATCTGCCCCTCTATCTTTATCTCTCTATCTTTCTATATCCCTCTCTCTTTATCTCTCCCTCTCTCTCTCTTTACCTCTCTCTTTATCTCTCTCTCTCCCTCTCTCTTTTTTATATATATATATATATATCTTTATCTCTCTCTCTATCTTTATCTCTGTCCGTTCACATATGTAGCAACAATATTCAAAGCATGGACGAATGGTAGACATGTGTTTTGATTGATTCTGGAGAGTAAAATTGTCAAGCACAACACAGTAAATCCACTTTCCTAGCAGCAGACCTAGCAATTGATTCAAATTGGTTTGGTTTGGTTTGTTTTACGGCATATCAACCTCAATGGGTTATTTAATGCCGACAAAATTTTCATTGTTGGTAATATTTTTTTCCCCAAAATCTATTTCTGGTAATATTTTTTCCTTCAAAAATCTATGTCTGGTAAGAATTTCCCTTCGCTGGTAATATTTTTTTTTCAAATAATGTATTGCGGGTAATAATTTTTTTTATACAACGTATTTCTGGTATTAAAACCTATTTTTACACTTTCATAGTGTTTTGATGCGAGTTTGGGGGTTAACTATTTGCCCATAGCTGGGACCCTAACAGATGCTACCACCCAGGGTCAGAGTGAACCTGGGAACACCAGCAATTAAGGGGTGGTTCCACTCTACTCAAAACCGCCTGATCAGAGGCATTGCTGTCGGACGTAATTTATCGTCTTACCCAGGACGCGGATGTAGTTTATCGTCATATCCAGTACGGCAGCCCGCAAGAATTTTGACGAACAATATGCATAAACTATGAGAATAAGACTCCTAGTCAGTGTAACTATCTTAAAACACAACTTCCGCTAGTCGTGATTTTTTTTCGTTTCGTTTTTTAGGAAGAAGTTTTGAATCCATTTATTGTTTTGAAACCGATGGGTGTATATGTGCGTGTGTATACATATGCATGGGCGAACACTTACGTGAAAACATATGTGTAGATGGATCCAAATGTGTGTATGGATGTAGACACATATGTGTAAGTGTAATTATATGTGTATATAGAATAATGTGTATGTATGTAGATATAGGGATTTGTGTACGATCTCCGGTTTCTCCCTTCTCTTCTGTTTCCTGCTTCTCCCTCTATTTCTTTTTCTTGTTGGGTGAATAAGAGGTCAATGCTACAGCCATCGCATTTCCTAGAGACATATACCCCTCTTCTCTTCCTTCCCTGTGTAACTATCTTAAAATATAACTTCCGCTAATCTTGTTTTTCATTTCGTTTTCGGTTGATTCCTGGAAGAATTTTTGAATTCATTCATTGTTTTGAAACCATAATGTCTGACGAAGCGAAATCGAATTTTATTGGTCTCGCGAAATAAAATATTACAATGGCTTTCTGAAGTCTCTGATTTGTTAATTAATTATTACTTGCTCTGTTTATTACATTGAGCTCGCGGGATTTATATCCTCCCTGGAATTATTCATATGGATTACTAATTAACTTTATTATATATTATTCGGACTATTGTCCTCATCTTTGTCGCCATATTTATTACGTTTCGGCAGTTCTACGCTCCAGCCTACTTCAAGTGGTGGGAATGTCGAACTGAACCCTTTATTTTGCTCACTAGGGTAGACTGTTCTAGTTCCACGTGCCATGTCTAATGGATGTCAGTTATCTCCTGTTAATTCCCCTATGAAAGTTCTCCACTGCCTTAACCAGGTATTGAACTCACACTCTTACGGTCCTGTCACTGGATCTAACTAACGCTTTATCCACTGTGCCACATGACATAAAATATTACAATGGCTTTCTGAAGTGTCTGATTTGTTAATTAATTATTACTTGCTTGCTTTGTTTATTACATTCAGCTCTCGGAATTTATATCCTCCCTGGTATTAACTATACGGATTATTATTAACTTTTATTATTATATATATATATATATATATATATATATATATATATATAATCGACTCTCCCGTCGAGATTCGATGTATGAGGGTCAAGCAGATCAGTTTTTCCAGGAAACCGACAGCCCAACAACGGTACATGAGATTTGATTTTAGTCGTGAAGGCTTCGTGCAGGACCATCCACACTTTTTGAAGGGACGAATACAGAGACTAGGTGCATCGAGTGCCACAAGGTTCCCAAACGACCCTCCGCAGGTTTTGAATTCAGAGTTGTCCTTCTCCTAGACCAGTTGCCATCCGAGGCTATATAACCCAGTCTGTCCTGCTATTTTACCATATATATATATATATATATATATATATATATATATATATATATATGTGTGTGTGTGTGTTTAAAATATAATACGATTTTCCTCGGTAAAAACCTAGCGATAATTTATGTTGTGAAACATTTAGAATTGTTTATATTCTGCATTTTGCTCTTCATTGCGAGTTCTTTTTCGTTACGTCACCAAATGAGCAAAATTACTACAGATATCGTCAATGACGGAACCACATTTCTACAGAGGGACTTAAAAGGATGGAGCTACATATATCATCACCTTGGGATCCACATTGATATCTGTAGCAATGTGGATTAGAGAGGCATCCTCATTATGAAGGATGCACATTGCTACAGATATCATCATTAATGATGGAGCTACATTGCTACTGATATAATTAATGTCAGTCTATATTTCTGAGATGAGGTATTATGTACACTATTTACATTATTCGGACTATTGTCCTTATCTTTGTCGCCATATTTATTACAACGTTTCGGCCTTTCAGTATCTGTCTATATTTCTGAGATGAGGTATTATATACGCTATTTACATTATTCGGACTATTGTCCTCATCTTTGTCGCCATGTTTATCACAACGTTTCGGCCGTTGTACGCTCCGGCCTACTTCAAGTGGTTGGAATGTCGAACTGAACCCTTTATTTTGCTCACTAGGGTAGACAGTTCTAGTTCCACATGCTATGTCTAATGGATGTCAGTAACCAGGTATTGAACTCACACTCTTTCGGTCCTGTCACTGGATCTAACTAACGCCTTTATCCACTGTACCACATGACATGGCACGTTGAACTAGAACATTCTACCCCAGTGAGTGAAATAAAGGGTTCAGTTCGACATTCCAACCACCTGAAGAAGGCCGGAGCGTACAACGGCCGAAACGTTGTGATAAACATGGCGACAAAGATTAGGACAATAGTCCGAATAATGTAAATAGTGTATATAATTAATGGTTTGGTTTGTTTTACGGGTTTTATGGGTTATTTAATGTCGACAAGATTTTTTATTTCTGGTAATGTAATACGTAATATTTTTCTTCAAAAATTTATTGCTGGTATTAAAACCTACTTCTACACTTTCATAGTGTTTTGACCCCAGTTTTGGGGTTAACTATTTGCCCATAGCTGGGACCCTAACAGATGCTACCACCTCGGATCAGGGTGGACCCATAAACAACACCAACTAATAGGTTGTACCACACGCCTCAAAACCTCCTGATCAGAGGCCATGCTGTCGGATGTAGTTTATTGTCTTACCCAGGATGGATATAATTAATGATGTACCCTCATTGTGAGAGATGTTATGAATAAGTGGGCCAAATTGCTACAGATGTCGTTAATGACAAAACAATATTGCTACAGCAATTGTGATAAGGTACTACCGATAACGTCTACGAATGATCCATAATGCTCCAGTTGCTGTTGATGTTAGTTGCAAATTGCTGCAGATGTCGACAACAATGGAGTCACAGGTGTCGTCAACAGGGGAACAATATTGCTAGTAATGACTTTGATGAAAGGACCAGATAGTTACAGATGTCACCACTAAAGGAGTCATATTAATACAGATATTGTCAACAAGAGATACAGATGCTACAGATGCTATATTTAATGATGGTGCTAAAGTGCGCACATGTTGAGCTCCATAGAAATGTCGTTAATAATGGAACAACATTGCTAGAGAAATCATGAAGAATTGCTACAAATGTTATGACGGTGCAATATTACTATAAATGCCATTAATGACGGAGCCACATTGCTACAAATGCCATTAATGACGGAGCCAC